GAAGGAATACTTAACGATATCCTCATAACCTTAATTAAGTCTCATGACTCAGCCTCGTAGATTTCATTTCCTCATATGAAGCTCATCCAGCGTGATGGAGTATGACAGGACGCCATCCTGCGTGATGAGGTGTGACAGGAAAACCATCCTGCGTGATTTAGTATGACACGAAAACCTTCCTGCGTGATGGAGTATGACAGGACAACCATCCTGCGTGATGGAGTATGACAGGACAACCATCCTGCGTGATGGAGTATGACAGGAAAACCATCCTGCGTGATGAAGTGTGGCAGGAAAACCATCCTGCGTGATGGAGTATGACAGGAAAACCATCCTGCGTGATAGAGTATGACAGGCAACCATCCTGCGTGATGGAGTATGACAGGAAAACCATCCTGCGTGATGGAGTATGACAGGAAACCATCCTGCGTGATGGAGTATGACAGGAAAACCATCCTGCGTGATGGAGTATGAGAGGAAACCATCCTGTGTGATGGAGTATGACAGGAAACCATCCTGCGTGATGGAGTATGACAGGAAACCATCCTGCGTGATGGAGTATGACGGAAAATAAATGTGGTTGATCGAATTTAATACGGAAACCATCGGGCGTGATGAAGTACGAGAGGAAAATCCTGACTGATGGTTATGTTAGGTAAACAACTCTTACTCTGACCTTGTGAAATGTCATTTCCACCAGAACAGCCTCGCATTGTGATTACACCTAATTCTGTGATAAAAAACTATGTGGACATTAATTATGGTCGGCAGGTCCCGTGGTTCGGTTGGCAACACACTCACCTCACACACTGAGTGTCCGTGGTTCAATCCCTGGCACGGGTGGACACATTCTGTATGTTTCCTTACACCTGCTGCCCATGTTCACCTAGCAGTAAGTAGGTACCTGAGTGTTAGTCGACTGGTGTCGGTCGCATCCTGGGGGTCAAAATTTAAGCTTAATACCACAATGGAAATAAGACTGTCCTCGATGACGCACTGACTTTCTTGGGTTATCCTGGGTGCTAACCCTCCCCCCCCAAGCTAAAATTCCCAACAAGTCATGTCTTACGTTTAAAACTGAGATTACACTTAAACTACTGAAATGCGAACTGGGTTGATACGGTCACAAAATGTACAAATTATTAATAAAATGTTACTTTTATGTATTGAGTTCAGCGCTGTATGGCCCTTGTGGTTTAGCGCTTTTTTTATTATAATAATAAATATGTATTGAGTTTATATTTACAATATTTGTTTCATTATAAGATGAAGTAAATCATTATGTGCTCGAGTTATATTTTTGTCTGTCAACCAGAGCGGTTTATTTATAATGTAAAATGTATTCTAGCATCTGAAGGAAATAAATGTAATTTTATTTTAGATTTGTTTTATTTTCCAGGATTTTATGAAAAAAAAAAATAGAGATTTTTATTCGCGTGTCAGTTTTTCCGTTTAGAAATACTACATCATATATATTTCCTACTGTCTTATGTAACAGTGACACTGTGGCATCATAAAAATATTATATTCTTTTAACGTTAGCTACAGTGTCACTCTTATATAAGGTCCCTTCAAGAGGGGGGTGGGGAGTGACTCGGTGCCGATGAAAGGGTTCTTGATTCGGGGAACTGGAGCTATCCTCCCCTTCCCTGGTTCAAATATGATTACCTCCTTCCCCAGGTGCTGTATGACCCTTACAGGTTCAGCGCTCCTCCATGAAAATGATATAAAAACAGCACCAATGTAACATTGTATACCCGGATTATACATGATCAAGATTCCAATGTTCACGGAAGATATTTGAACAATTCTACTGATTAATTAAAAACATAAGTAATGCAATTTATTATTGTTATTATATTCAGTGGGAAGCGCTAAACCCGTAGCGGTCATACAGCACCCGAATTTTTTTTTTGCAACTGCAATAATGGCTACATCCATATCAGTATTTAATTGAAATATAATAAAAGCCAAGTAACATACAAATTGGTGCTGACTGTAGTCTGAATGATACCCCAGGACGTTGAGATCTGGATATATTCATAATACTCCTCAAGGGAGGTTCCTTGACGCTGGCGAGGGGCTCTTGATCTAGGGAACTGGATCTGTGCCCCAGTTCGTTCTACTGCCTTTACTTTCCCTTCTTGCTGATGCACCTTCTTAACCCAGAGTCTCTCTCATTGACTTTTTGACACCAGCTGATTCACTGGACAAACTCTGATGATGATGACGCCTCTAGTACTCCCCTCAGTCCTTTTTACCTCAATCTCTTGCTACCTTCTACCCCTGCACTATCCACTGCCCCCCCCCCCAAGGAAGGTTCCTTGATGTTGGCGAGGGGCTCTTGATTTAGGGAATTGGATCTGTGCTCCAGTTCCCCGAATTAAGCCTGAATGCCTTCCACATCCCCCCCCCAGGCGCTGTATAATCCTCCGGGTTTAGCGCTTCCCCCTTGATTATAATAATAATAATATCCACTGCCCTGCTGCACTCCGTGACCTAATACTCATCCCTCTCCCTCTTGCTACCCAATGCCCCTGCATCCTTCCCTGCCCGGCGGCGCTTATTTTTGATTATAATAATGTGCCACAGTTCCCTGAACTAAGCCTGAATACCTTCCATATCCCCCACAGGCGCTGTATAATCCTACGAGTTTAGCGCTCCCCCATGATTATAATAATGTACTCATAATTATTATAACCTCTTAAAGTCTCAATTTTGCGGCAATTAGATTTTGTAGACAATACACAGAGGCAATGAGCACCTAGGACAGTGGCAGTGTCCCAGCTCAAATACATTGCAATGTCACAATTGTAGGGATGATGGAATTGCATACATTAATCACTAGTTGGCTATGTCTTGTGTGTACTTGCTGTGGTGTCTGACACGATGCTTGTGTGCACTTGCTGTGGTGTCTGACACGATGCTTGTGTGCACTTGCTGTGGTGTCTGACACGATGCTTGTGTGCACTTGCTGTGGTGTCTGACACGATGCTTGTGTGCACTTGCTGTGGTGTCTGACACGATGCTTGTGTGTACTTGCTGTGGTGTCTGACACGATGCTTGTGTGCACTTGCTGTGGTGTCTGACACGATGCTTGTGTGCACTTGCTGTGGTGTCTGACACGATGCTTGTGTGTACTTGCTGTGGTGTCTGACACGATGCTTGTGTGCACTTGCTGTGGTGTCTGACACGATGCTTGTGTGCACTTGCTGTGGTGTCTGACACGATGCTTGTGTGCACTTGCTGTGGTGTCTGAGACGATGCTTGTGTGCACTTGTTGTGGTGTCTGACACGATGCTTGTGTGCACTTGCCGTGGTGTCTGACACGATGCTTGTGTGTACTTGCTATGGTGTCTGACACGATGCTTGTGTGCACTTGCTGTGGTGTCTGACACGATGTTTGTGTGCACCTGCTGTGGTGTCTGACACGATGCTTGTGTGTACTTACTGTGGTGTCTGACACGATGCTTGTGTGTACTTGCTGTGGTATCTGACACGTGGCTTGTGTGCACTTGCTGTGGTGTCTGACACGATGCTTGTGTGTACTTGCTGTGGTATCTGCCACGATGTTTGTGCGCACTTGCTGTGGTGTCTGACACGATGCTTGTGTGTACTTGCTGTGGTATCTGACACGTGGCTTGTGTGCACTTGCTGTGGTGTCTGACACGATGCTTGTGTGCACTTGCTGTGGTGTCTGACACGATGCTTGTGTGCACTTGCTGTGGTGTCTGACACGATGCTTGGAGGGATTGATCAAGTGCACGACAAAGCGATGAGAATCGGTACAATCCTGGTTTATGTATTATTAAAATGAGATGACCGCTCACAGGTTGCCGTGCTGGCTGCCTTGCTTGGGATGGGTATGGGCTGGTTACCTTGCATGGGATGGGTATGGGCTAGATACCTTGCACGGGATGGGTATGGGCTGGCTACCTTGCACGGGATGGGTATGGGCTGGCTACCTTGCACGGGATGGGTATGGGATGGATGAGTATCGAGTGTTGGCACACTCAGGATGGATATGGGGTGACTACCACCCACAGGGTGGATATGGGGTGACTACCACCCAAAGGGTGGCTATGGGGAGACTATCACTCACAGGGTGGTTATGGGGAGACTACCACCCACAGGGTAAATAAGGAGAGACCACCACCACCCACAGTGTGGCTATGGGGTGACTACCACCCGCAGGGTGGATATGGGATGCACAGGGGGCTAATAGAACCATAAAGCTAACTGAAAATTCATCCAAAACTCTTTTTTATATAAGATGAAGAACATTTTGATAATGACAGATCCCAATATACGATCTATGTTTGTGTCTACTTCTACCGTAAATCGTCCAAGTTGAACATATTACGAATATTAAGCAACGTCACGGATTTATAAATAGCTTGTGTATTGACATGGGTTTTCAAAAGACTCGTCCGAAAGGTTGCATAAATATATTCAGGGCGCATTTTTATCAAAAGAATGTCTTCAAAATATGCTAACTTGATGGATAGATTAATTTACATGGCTTTCTGAAACTTTTATTAAAACTAGTGAGCATAGAGAGTTGTGGAATATTTAAATATAAGAGGTGACACCAATGGATTGAGAGGATGCCACCACTCAGCTGAGAAACAGTGACGTCACTAACGTCGCTGATAAGACCGAACAAGCGAATACGTAATAATTCTATATATAAAATAACATCTACCTAACTTGCTATTTTACCGCTATAATATTTTTCATATATAATATATGAACAGAGCTCTAAATTTTTACTTATAATATTCAGAGTTTTGAGGCTCTCCTGAGTTGTAGTTATAAAATTTTATTTAAGGTGAAATTTTGAGTTTGGAGGAGTGTAATCAATACTGGAGGAGGTGTGGCCCCAGGCCAGGCTGGTGTGCGCAGCCGCCATGCGTTGCCCTGGTGACCGTAGTGCGTCGATAATGTCAAGTGGCAAGTCACCATTTTATATCTATATTTCCGTACTATAACCTTGTCTTATGCTCTTTTCCCGCACTTGAAGTATTAACAAATGTGTCAGTGTATGTGTGTGTGTAATTATAACAGAGGTTGAGGGTTGGTTGTGGGTGTATCTGAGGAGCAAAGGTGAAGGAGAATTCTCTCGGCATTACTTCTCTCGGCAACATCGAGTCTGTCATTGATTTCTGGTGTAGTACGAGGGGCAGACACGTCGAGGTGGCCGTGGGATCAGTTTCACCAGTGCCAGGTACTATTTCACCCTTGTAGACCTCCGTCATGGACTTGCTTTTGTGGTGAGTGAAATTTTGAGAGGCTGAGATCAGCATCCCTCTCTGAGGCTGCTTCACTGCTGATGTGGCAAGTTGAAATCTTAATTATTTCTTTATCTCTTCATTTGTGGGCTTTATTTTCTTTCCTGTTTTTATTTAGAGTTTCAAGTATGTAATGTAGAATGCAGCCAGCGTGCTGTCATGGTGTAATTATTGTATATGAATTATTCAGTAGGGTAAACTATGTTATAATGACGGTGACCTACTTACTAGACCCATTCACTTGACCATGGATTTTGCTCTTATTTACAAAATTAGATACAATCTCATTGTGACTACCTTGTCTAAGTCATCCTGCAGTGTTCCACTGTTCTTATTTTCTTATTATGAGAGTGTGTAATGATAGAGCAAGAAGTGTGTACCTAACATGCATCAGGCACCATGATCCACGTAAACTAACATTGCTCACGATAATTACATTATTATTATTATTATTATTATAATCAAAAAGAAGCGCTAAGCCACAAGGGCTATACAGCACGATAATTACAAACATAGTGTGTTTACATCAGTCATAACAACAAGAAGACACAATACCGTGACTGGAATGTTACACAGATAACCCGCACATAGAAGAGAGGAGCTTACGACAACGTTTCGGTCCAACTAGGACTAAATGGTCTAAGTCGGACCGAAACGTCGTCGTAAGCTCCTTTCTTCTGTGTGCGGGTTATTTGTGCATATATCAGTCATACATGTGTCAGGTGCTTAATTTTGGTGATAATTGCTGCTTTTGACTCGTAAATAAACTTGAAAATCTAGCTTTTCAATAGAATAACATTGTTAGCCTTGACAAGATACTGGCTGAAGATCTCGTTTTTTTTTTCATGAAGTTGAATCAGGAAGCTGTGGAGGTTAAGCACATTCCATAATATAATAATATCTATATTAATAACATTAATGTGATAGTAGATGTAGTATAATGCGAATACTGGATGAATGAAATTTCCTCCCCAACATATATTTAGTAAACAAATAATATACATACTGTGTATACGATTTTGTCTTCTATTTCGTGTATTTTTTTTTAATTTAGGACTGCAAGAATTGCTTTGTTGTTACCATTATGCGCCCAGGAGGATTTCACAGTTGGTATACAACTATTTTATTGTCAAAATGTGGGTTCTCTGGTCATACAGATAGGTGTGTATGCATCGAGTTGTGTTTGCCGGGGCGGGGGTTGATGCTTAGCTCCTGGCCCTGTGTACGTGTATGTACATGTGCTTGTTGGTACTCACATGTGGCTGCAAGGGTCGAGTCTTAACTCCTGGCCTCGTATCTGAACTTGCCGCTTGCCAGATTCACCCCTAGCCTCGTGGGCCTTATTGTACCTGCTCTTAAAGCTGTGTGTGAAGCCTGTCTTCACCACTTTTTAACCGAGGTCTTGACACTTTCCAACGACCCTGAGACATGAAATACTTCCTGACATCACCGTAGCTGATCTGTCTTAAATTCAGCTGTGTCCCCGAGTTCCCGTTTCTCGCAAACAGCTCCCTGTCTACCTTGTCAATTTCCCTAAGTATTTCATATGTTTTTATCATGTCTTCCCTGATTTTTCTATCCGCCAATGTCGTTACATTCAATTCCACTGCCCCTCAAAGGGTTAACTCAGGAGCAAGCCATGCGCGTACTTCTGCACTTTGTCCGGTTTCTTAACCTTCTTCGTCAGGTGTGGGCTCTATACTAGTGCTATGTTTACAAGATGGGCCTGACATATGTTGAGATTCCTGAAAGCCACTCTTAGATTTGCCAGGGTCATTGGTTGCAGAAGTTATTCGGTAAACGTAAGCTTTTGCCGAAATTCTAGGCCTTTGCTTACCCCTAGGCCTTTCTCTGAGTGAGGTCTACACCCTTTGTCTTCCCCGAGACTATACACCGTGTCCGGTCTTCTGTCCCCTTCCCTGATCTTCACGACTTTGCGCTTACTGGAGTTGAATTCAAGCAGCCACTTTTCTGACCAATTTTGCACTTTGTCCAGATACATTTGCAGCCTTTCCTTCCCTCGTCTGTTTTTATTCTCATCTGGCCCTAATACCGATACTTGTGGCACCCTGCTTGTTGCACTTTCCCATTCTGGCATCTCATCCCGGATAATCACTCTTCGCTTCCTTTGAGGTAATCGTTGAACCACCGAAGTACGTTTCCTGTTGTGTTTGTGTGTTGGGGCGGTAACACTGCAGCAGACATAACTAGCCAATGCTAGGCAAGTCTAACTCACACTCACCCATACTCATGCATGAACCTGTCCAGCCTATATTAATTAATTAAAGCTACCCAAAGTTCTTGCCTCAGTGACGTTACCAGGGAGTTTCTTCCACTCACCCACTCGACTACAATTATTGTTAAACTAGTACGTTCCTGCACCCCTTCAAAATGTAAATTGCTACAAGGGCTGTTTTGGGTAGATATATTCAAACTCTATTTGTATCCCTCTTATTTATTCCAGTTTTCCATTTGTATATTTCAATCGTATCTTCCCTAATTCTACGTTTTCCCCCGAGAGTGCAAATCCAGTGCCTTCAATCTTTCTTCGTAGAAAAGGTTTCTTATACATGAAATCAACTTCGTCATTCTTCTCTGTATATTTTCAAGCACTTTTATGCCCATTCTATAATATGGAGACCAGCAGAGTATCGTTATCTAAATGAGGCCTTACCAGCGATATACAACGAAATACGTATAAGCTTAGGACTAATATTATTTATACTTAGTGATATGGAGCAAACACTTTTTCTTTCACTGTTGTCTTGGCTTTAAATTTCTGCTAACTAGAACTCTTAAACCTTTTTTGCGTTCACTCTGACAAAGCTTATAAGTGTTAAAGTTACTCTCTTTTCCTAGGACTTGAACCTTGCACTCGTTTACGTTCAACTGCATCTTCAACTTCCCCGACCACAAACAGCAACCTATCCAGGTCACCTTGTAGCCCTCTAGTGTCCACAAAAAAAATATGTGACGGCCTATTTTTGTCATCAGTAAACCTACCTATGTCGCTATTTATTCCCTCATCTATGTCACTTATTTTCACCCTTGTGATACTTATCAGTCTCCTTGTGTGGAACTTCATCTAAGGCTTTACTGAAGTTTCTATACACAATATCGTTCCTTTATGTTGGTCTACTGCCTCAAATATCCTAGTGAAAAAGGATAGTAAAATCATAAGGCAAGAACATCAGAATGCCCCTCTGTAAAATCGACCTGAGATTCGTTGATCAAATTATGTATTTCAAGGTGGTTTTGAATTACATAGGCAGTTTTTTATTCCATCAACTTCCCCACAGTTGACGTTAAGCTAATTGGTCTATAATCTGAAGCTAATACCCTTTCTTTCGCTTTGCCAAGTTTCTCTTTACGTTCTTTTAGAATCCTCGACAATGGCTCATCAGGGGCCGTCGACTTGTTTGGCTTCAATCAACCTAAGTTGTCAGAGAACCGTGTTACTTGTAGCTGTAATATTGCATAATTCATTTTCTTCTTTATCTGTGTAATATTATTTTGGATGATTTCGTTTGTATTTTCTGATACAAAAATAGAGCAGAAATAAGTGTTAAAATTGGCACAATTTTTTTTTGTCACTAACAGTTTAGCTTACCTGAATTACATCGAACTGAGCCTACCTTTTCCCTAATCTTAATCCTATATACATGGACAACCCTTTTAGTTGGTCTTTAATTCCCTGGCAACCTTAATTTCATGTTCTCTTGCTTTCCTTATTCCTTTTCTTTTTAATTTTAATCTTAAATTGAGTATATTGTCCATAATGTGACCCTCTCCTCTATTTATTTGTCTATTAAATGCCTCTCTTTTTCACCCAAGAGATGTTTTAATCGAGTCATTATGTTTGATTTAAATTTTCTATTAGAACATATATACAGCTATGGCAGCCTGTACAATGCTTTTCAAAACGTCATATTGGCAGCCATCACCATATGTCCGGCCTCCCTCATCATGATCCTTAGTTAGGTTACTCCAATCTTCACTACTCATGTAATCCCTTAGCCCCATATAATCTACGTGAAAATTGGGGACCATAGCTTTCTTTTCGTTTTTAAGGTAATTCCATGAGATATTGAGACTAAATGGTTTGTTATTGCCTTCTCTACGATTATCAGAAAATCCAAGACCAGCAGGTTATTTATATCTTGTAGTTGGTTCTGACGCAAACTTTCCAAAGCAATTCTGAACCATTACAGAAAAGTCACTTGACTATATTTCTTGTCAAATCGTTCCAGTTAATTTGGATAAAGTTTAGATATCCCATTAAAACTACATTTTCGTTTCAGCGCATGGCTAGACAGGCCGTGTGCTGAAACTCATATACACTTACCTACGCAAGTATATAAAACATTACTAACAGTAGCGTGCATATTAATTGGGACAGTGATGAAATACGATATTTATTTGAAAAATTAATGTTTATTTGAAAAGTACGCGGCAGTGATATATATGATAATTGCTTTAATAAGAGATACGACTACTCTTTGCTTTTATAAGCCTTGCTACACGCTTTGGCATTGAATCGATCAATGCTGAACACATTTTGGCAAGCTCTTGTCATAGCACCAGGTCCTAATAATAACAGCAGTTAGCTTCTCCAGTTTAACAGCCCTGTTTCACGATCCTGCGTTTGCTTATTGCCCATAGATTCTCAGTTAGGTTAAGGTAAGGAGAGTTTCCAGTTGGCATTTTTGATGGAACTGTGGCATGGAGCAAGATCCTGTTGGAAAATACCTTCTCCATCAGGAAAGTCTGTCCAAAATGGGAAGCACATGAGTTTCCCAGGATTGCCTTGTATTTGTCACTGTTCATCGTTATCTCAACAATAACAAGCCGTCCAGGGCCTTTAGCAGTAGAACTACCGCAAAACATCTTAGGTGTTTTTTTTTTTTTTGTGCTTGTTAAATGTGTTCATTCCGAAGTGGTTCGCCTTTGCTCCGTCTCACCACTAATCTGTACCCATGTAC